CTCCCAGAAAGCCTTAATCTTTGGGCACGTCCACCAAAGGTGAAAAAATGTACCTTCAGTTTCTTTACATTTCCAACATTTATTATCAGGCACATGATAGATTTTTGCAAGCTTGACTGGGGTTATGTACCACCTGTATATCATCTTCATAATATTCTCTCTTAAGGCATTACATGCCGTAAACTTCATACCTGTGGTCCATAACTGTTCCCAGTCAGCAAACATAATATTATGTCCAACATCTTGTGCCCATTTAATCATAGCAGATTTCACCGTTTCATCCTGAGTATTCCATTTCAACAGCAAGTTATACATTCTTGACAAATTCTTAGTTTTGGGTTCTAACAGTTCTGTTTCTAGTTTTGATTTTTCCACCTGGAAGCCAATTTTCTTATCCAAATTATATGCCTCCATTATCTGATAATAATGAAGCCAATCTCTCACTTTATTTTTTAGTTTCTCGAAACTCTGCAATTTCAATTTGTCTCCTTCTTGTTCCAAAATTTCCCAATATTTCGGCCATTTGGCCTCCATATTGAGCCTTTTCAGAGCTTTCGCTTCCATTGGTGACAACCACCTTGGGGTTTTATTTTCCAATAAATCCTTGTATCTTATCCAAACATTAAACAGTGCTTTCCTGACAATATGATTTTTAAATGCTTTATGTGCTTCGACCTTATCATACCATAAATATGCATGCCATCCAAATACGTTGTTAAAACCTTCTAAATCCAAAATATCTGTATTTTCAAGAAGTAGCCATTCTTTCAACCAGCAAAAAGCTGCTGATTCATAATAAAGTTTAAAGTCTGGCAGGGCAAATCCACCTCTTTCCTTTGCATCAGTTAATATCTTAAATTTTATTCTGGGCTTCTTGCCCTGCCAGACAAATCTAGAAATATCTCTCTGCCACTTCTTGAAACAGTCCATCTTGTCCACAATTTGCAATGTCTGAAACAAAAACAACATTCTAGGCAATACATTCATTTTTATCACAGCAATACGACCCAACAGTGAAAGCTTCAAATTTGACCAGATTTCTAAATCTTTTTTCACTTCCGTCCAACATTTTTCATAATTATCTTTGAATAAGTTCCCATTTTTGGCTGTCATATTAATCCCCAGGTATTTCACTTTCTTAACCACAGTCTGGCCTGTCTCATTCTGAAACCTCTCTCTTTCAATCGGTGTTAAATTTTTCTCTAAAACCTTAGTTTTTAGCTTGTTCAATTTAAATCCTGCCACTTGACCAAATTCTTGAATTAATTCTAAAACCCTTTTAGTACTAGATTCTGGCTCCTGTAACATCAATACTAAGTCATCTGCAAATGCTCTCAGTTTGTACTGTTTGGCTCCGACCTGTATACCTTTAACCAACCGGTCCCTTCTAATCATATTCAGCAGAACCTCCAGGACCGATATAAAAAGCAGTGGGGAGATTGGGCACCCCTGTCGTGTCCCTTTTTCAATCTTAAATTCTTCCGTCACCACATTATTTACAATTAATTTAGCCTTTTGTTCAGAGTATATTGCACCTATACCATTTTCAAAACCTTGGCCTACCCCCATCCCCTGTAGATTCTTCTTCATGAAGCTCCAAGAGATATTGTCAAAAGCTTTCTCCGCATCCACAAATATCAGAACTGCTTTAGTATTTATATTCACTTCTAGTTTTTCCAAAATATCAATTATATTCCTCAAATTATCAGACAAGTGTCTTCCCGGGAGAAAGCCCGCTTGGTCTTTATGAATCTCTTCCATCAATACTTTTTTCAATCTCTTGGCCAAAATGTCTGCAAAAAAATTGTAATCCACATTAAGTATAGGGCGGTAGTTCTTAAGCTGAGTCTTTTCAGTCTCTGTTTTCGGTATAAGTGTAATGTACGCCTCTTTCCACGACTCTGGTGCCCTTTTCCCTTCCAAAATTTCATTGCAGACTTCCTTCAAAGGTTGCAATAGCCACTCTTTCAAGGATCTATAATATCTAGAAGTCAGCCCATCCGGTCCTGGAGATTTGCCCAATTGCATGTTTTGAATGGCACCTTCCACTTCCTGTTCAGATATTTTATAGTTCAGCATTAATTTACTTTCTTGAGAGATTTTTTGTAATCCATTTGTCTTCAAGAATCAGTCTATGTCCATTTCTTTCTGTGGCCCTAAGATTTGCCCTCTCATTCCCTACTCTTCAGTTAAAAGGAAAGCAATTAAAAATGAGAGCATTCCATCTACTACGAGCTCTACCTCTCCACCCTCAGACTTAATTAGTTGGACAGAGACCCCCATGCCCCTCCTATCAAAGGCTACTCACCTTGAGAATTCGATGGAGCAGGAATTACTTGTCTCCTTCTCCCATCTGCCAAAAGCCGAACAAACAGAGATAACGGACAGACTAGATGAGTTATTACTCTATCTCCGCAACTTTGAAGATCTAGCGCCCACAAAAGAGGCAAATATTCCACCTAACTCGGAGCGAAAAATGGGTCATGAATCTCCTCAGGTCACGGCAGAACACACACCCCTACTCTGCCCATCTGAAATCCACGCCGAAATCTCTGTGGCGCCCCTAATCACATTACCGGAGACTCAACCATTCAGTGGTTGCATCTTCCACGACTCCGGGAAAGCCCTAGATGCTATTGAAGAGACAAAATGACTTTCACCCCTACTACTATCCTGGAACGTTGCTGGATGGCAATCGAAAACAAGGGACAAAGACGTTTTAACCTACGTATCACAGTTCAAGATCATCCTGCTCCAAGAAACCTGGACGCAAAATCCTTTCGAACTACACAATTACTTTGCTTTCCATTCCCTTGCCTCAATCGGCCCAAAAGGCGGAAGACCGGTGGGAGGTCTGAGCACCTTCGTATCGACAGATCTAGGAGCCTCCCCTATCCAATTGAAAATCGATAACAAATGGATTTTGGCCGTTAAAATATTCTCCACCCATTTTAAGATCATATGCATCAATGTTTATATTCACCCACTTATGAAACAAACTGATCTTAAAAACATCTGGAACGAACTGGAAGACTGCATTCTCCTCGTCTCAAATAAGTTTCCCTCTGCCTCCTTAATTATTGGTGGGGATTTTAATGCAAGGCTAGGCCACTCAGACGAACAGTTAATCAAGGAAAGTGGAATGGGTCCCCTAAATGCTAATGATGAACATTGGCCCCTATTCAGGCGTCACTCACTTGACCCAGTTACCAATTTTGCTGGTACATGTCTTTTTTTAATGGCACTTAGATTAAACCTTGTTATTTTAAACGGCCTCTCCTCGGGGACTGCCCTGGCCAATTTACTTACTGGTCAGGCTTAAGGCATTCTGTTATTGATTACATCCTTGTCTCCCAAGAACTCTTCGATGAATATATTGAATTTGCTGTAGATATAAGAACCGAAAGTGACCATTTACCCCTAAATCTTAAAAGGACTGAATTTTGGGAACCCTCTAGATGTGGGCTTGCCCCGCAGACTCCTGATCCTAGCGCTTTACAACAAATAGGCAGATCCAGAATTAAATGGTCCCCTTATGTTAATAACCATTTTGGTATTTGGACACAATCAATGGAAGGTCAACTCCTCTGGGCTGATCTGACTTCCAACGACACTGAAGAGACCTCCCCAATTGACCATTATAACACATTAATCCGAAAACTCCAACCGTTATTGTCAAGACCCAGAAGATCTAACCAAAATGACTCCCCTACCAACAAAAATGCTTGGATCACGAATGCACTCAGGCAAAACTTATACTCAGGGAATGCTTTAAGGTCTTCCAGCAAAATCCTAACCCTATCACTAAATTGGAGTTACAACTTAAAAAAAGAACTACAAAGAGTTATTAAAAACCAAAAAAGAACCGCAGACTCTCTCATTTGGCAGGCCCTCATAAAAGCGTCAATAGAAAAAGACAATTCCAATTTCTGGAAAATTATTTCCAGTCAAACCAAAGCTCCTAATGAGGGCACAATAATCCCTGCAAATTCATGGGAAGAGCACTATAAAGTGCTGTTTAGGGAACATCGTCCTTCTGCGCCGCTTAACATCCCCTTAGATAATGATACACCATGGCCCCCAACATCTGAAACTGAAATCACTTCGCTAATTCTACAAATGAAATCTGGCAAAGCCCCAGGAAGTGATTTCATTGTCGCTGAACTTCTGAAAGCGCAAATAAACTGGTGGGCCCCGGTCCTTGCTAATCTATTTTCATATATAGATAAGACAACTGAAATCCCTAAAGATTGGGGACTAGCTATAATTGTTCCCATATTTAAAAAGGGCAACCCCTCTGATCCATCTAATTATAGACCAATTAGTCTCCTGAACGTGATCTGTAAACTTTATACAAAACATCTATGCCTAAAATTATGGGAATGGTTAGATCATAATAACTTGCTAGAAATTGAACAAGCAGGGTTTACATCCGGACGTTCCACCATTGATCACTGCTTAGTGTTAGATTACTTTGTCTATAAGTATGCGAAATATTGGAAAAGTCATTATATGCGGCCTTTGTGGACTTAAAGGCAGCATTTGATTCTGTATCCAGGAGCAGGCTCTGGGCCAAATTGGCCAATATGGGTATTAACAGAAGGTTATTACTTCTGATGATTAAGCTTCATGAGAACAATACCCTCCAGATAAGACTCGCACAGGACGGCAGACTCTCTAGAGAAATCTTAGTCCAAAGAGGAGTTAGACAAGGATGCCTATTAGCCCCATTCCTATTTAATATCTATGTTAACTCCCTGGTTACATGCTGCCGTGAAATTGAAACCCACCCCCCTGTGTTCTCTAATGGCAGAAAAGTACCAATTTTAATGTATGCGGATGACGCTGTTCTTCTCTCTCAAACCAAAGTGGGTCTGAAACGTGCCTTAGGAAAGTTTAGTGACCAATGTAACACTGAACTGTTAACAATTAACTTTGCCAAAACCAAAATTGTACATTTTAACCGCTCCTTTAGGAAGGATAATTGGAGCGTAAAGGGAAACGCCATTGAACAGACTAAGACCTTCCAATACTTAGGCATTACTTTCTCTTATAATGCCAAATTCTCAACACACTTGACCACATCAGCTATATCAGCAGAAAGAAGTGCAAATGCTATCCTTAGATTATTCAGAAGGAAAGGAGCTGGCTTCCTCCCGATGGCCCTAACAGTCTTTCAGGCAAAATCTTTAGCCCAACTTCTATATGGCTCTCAAATTAGCCCCTCTGCCAACCTTAAGACCTTTGAAACAGTACAATCTAAATTCTTAAGATCATTATTTGCTACTCCTAAGTGTACACCTAATGCAGTCTTAAGGCAAGAGGCAGGACTGCCCAGAGTGGAATTAAAAGTCTGGGAACAAGCAATATCCCTCTGGCTGAAAATCCATTACAATCCTAAGGGTCTATTACCTTGCTTCCTGGCCGCAGTTCCCTATCCTCCTTGGCTTATGCAAATAACTAACAAGATCAAACAAATTGGCCTAAACCCTGAAAATATTTTTATTGGAACTCTGAACAAGGCAAAAGCTACTATCACTCGGAGACTTTATGATATCGAATTACAACAAGAAGGCGCCCTACTCCCAGAGACGTATAGATGTTTAAAAGCTTGGCCTAATTTTGCAGCTGCCCCTTACTTAACTAACATCACTAACGAAACCTATAGATGGGCTTTCTCTAGAGCCCGCTTTGAGACAATGCCCTCAGCAGTGCTGTACGGCAAATTCACGCGAGTTCCAATGCATGCGCGTCTCTGCCCTTGTATGTCTAATAAGGTAGAATCTGTCACACACATTCTTCTATCTTGCGAATTCTATAGTGAAGAACGAGTTCAACTTATTTTACCACTTCTATCAAAATTTATACCCCTTCAATATTATTTGGAATCCTCCCCTGAAATTCTTCGAAAATACCTCCTGGAAGATTCCTCAAGCTCAGTATCATATGAGGTGGCTAAATTTTGCACTTTAGTAATTAAGAAGCGTAAATCTCTTCTGTTGAATGGCACACTGGGAAGTTCTCTTGTGTAACCTTTTTTCTTTTCTAAAGTTGTTGCTGTTTTCTTGTTGTCTGATCTTATGGTGTTTAGTGTCACTGGCTTTGGCCGCAATAAACTTGAACTTGAACTTGAGTACCTCTGGAAACAGTTTCTAATCTCAATTGGGTTGTGTATATTCTTTCCTTCCACTTCTAAGTTTGTAATAGTATTTAATTTTTGTCTTTTTTTCATTTGCCAGGTCAACAATTTCCCACATTTCTTGGCTGATTCAAATGTTTTTTGTCTCATTTGTTTAATTTTCCATTCTATTTCCTGATTCATCATTTTCATGTATTGTACTTGATATAATTTTATTTCTCTCAGAATCTCCTGCGACTTTGGTTTTGCTCTCAATTTCTTCTCACTTTCTTTTATTTTCTCCAAAATTTTATCTTTCTTCTCATTCTGACTTCTCTTCTTTATTGCATTCTGTTGTATCAGAAACCCTCTCATGACCGCTTTACTTGCGTCCCAGATTACTCTTTTTTCTACATTGGTGTTCATATTTATTTCAAAATAGTCTCTCAGAGTTTTTTGGGCCTTTTTATATACTTCTTCATCTCTAAATAAGGTGTCATTCATCCTCCATCTGAAGGATCCGGTTGATATTTGTTTCATCTCCATCCTTACAGCGTTATGGTCGGAGTAGGTTTTTGGGCAGATTTCTACTTTCTTTATCTTTGGTGCCATTCCTCTAGTTATCCATATTTGGTCAATTCTAGTCCATGTCATCTTGGCTTCAGAAAAGAAGGTTCCCTCTCTTCCCAAGGGGTTCTTTACTCTCCAGATATCCACTAAGTCTATATTGTCTGTCATCTCAAAAAATGTTTTCGGTAGTCTACCATCCTTGGTAACTACCTGTCTTTGTGCCTTATCCATGTTTGTAGATACTACTCCATTCATGTCCCCCATCAAAATCAAATTATAATCCAAATAGTCCAGTAAAGTCTCGTGCAACTTTTTAAAGAATTCAGATTTCCCCTCATTCAGTGCATAAATTCCTACTATCAAGAATTTCTCTCCTTGAACTTGAATTTCAATTGCCAAAAATCTTCCTTGGTCATCTTTAAAAATTAATTTCGGTAATAGTCTCTCCTTTGCATATATCACAACTCCTCTTTTCTTAACTTTGTCAGATGAGATAAACTCCTGTCCCAATCTTTTATTAATCAGTAGTTTCCTGTGTAGCCTTGTTATATGTGTTTCTTGTAAACAAATCAAGTCCAATTGTTCCTTTTTTAGTAGATGAAAAACACTTTTTCTCTTTCTAGGGGAATTCAAACCATTACAATTCCAGCTTAACAGTTGCAAAGCCATGATGGGGTTACTTCACTTTACCTCCAACTGCACCAAGTGTCTGTTCTTGTTCTGTAGATGGTGTCTCTTTCTCTGGGCCGTGCAATCCAAAAGATAAGTTTGCTATGTCTAGTATGCCTTTTGGCTCTTCTCCAGATTCCACTTCTTTCTGTAGGTCTTCTTCGTGATCTTTCAGGAACCTGTCCTTATCATTAACTGATCTTATTTTTATCTTTCTTCCTTTGTATTTAAAGGATAGGCCTTGAGGAAATTCCCACCTGAAAAGAATTCTATTTCTTTTCAACAGGGCAACTAGGTCTCCGTAGTTAAACCTTAAGTCCAAAAGATGTTTTGGAATGTCCTTAAATATCACCACACTTGAGTCGTACATTTCCAAAGTCTTTTGATAGTGCAAATTCAAAATTTTGTCTCTCTCTTCTTTTGTTCGAAGGGTAATCAGGCAGTCCCTCACCTTGTTCCTGCTTTGTCCTCTTCCAAGTCTAAATGCATTCACTATCTTAAATTCTTCCTTCCCCAAGTCCTGTTGCCAAAAATCTGCAAATTCCTGTGTAAGAAAGTCAGCCAGGTTATCTTTCTCCCGTTCTGGTACGGCCCTGATTCTTAAATTTCTTTGTCTCTCTTTCAATTCAATCATAGACAATGTCAAATCGTGGTCCTCCAATTTCTTATATACTGGCGGTATCTTCTCTTGAATAGCAGTTGCAATATCTCTTGCTTCTTCAGCTATCTTTCGGGTCGAAGCAGATTCCTGTAATAATTTTTCAATAGACTCTGTATTGGTGTTCACCTTCTGTCCCAAATTATTAATACTTGTAGTATTCAGATCAATTTTACCTGATGCTTCAGCTACTTGTTTATTAGTCTCAGCTACCTGCTTAGCTAAATTTTCCAAAGATTCATTAATTTTTCCAAGTGCATGTGCCAAAACGTCTTCAGATGACATAACTTTTGGTTTGACCTGTGGGGGTGCAGCCCCTGATGTTCCAGATGCTCCAGATGTTGAAGCCCTTCGCTGCTGCGCAGTATCTGTCCGATAGTATCTGCCAGACCTAGGAGTTTTTTTCCTGCGCCAGCTCTATCTTTCCTTTCCCATCTGCCATAACACTCTCATGAGAATTCAAGGTCGTTCCCACAGTTGAAAGTTTATTTTGTACGCACCAAATGAGGGGAAATCTGATTTTTTTAAGAAGTTGCATGAGACTTTGATGGACTATTTGGATTATAACATGATTTTGATGGGAGACATGAATGGAGTGGTATCTACATATATGGACAAGGCACAAAGACAGGTAGTCACTAAGGATGGTAGACTACCGAAAACCTTTTTTGAGATGACAGACAACTTGGACTTAGTTGATATCTGGAGAACAAGGAACCCCATGGCTAAAGAGGGAACCTTCTTTTCTGAAGCCAAAATGACATGGACAAGAATTGACCAAATATGGGTAACTAGAGGAATGGCACCAAAGACAAGAAAGGTGTAAATATGCCCGAAAACTTGCTTCGACCATAATGCTGTCTAGATGGAAATGAAACTAATACCAACTGGCTCCTTCAGATGGAGGATGAATGACACCTTATTCAGAGATGAAGAAGTGTTAAAGAAGGCCCAAAAAACATTGAGAGACTATTTTGAGATAAATATGAATACCAATGTGGAAAAAAGAGTAATCTGGGACGCAAGTAAGGCAGTTATGAGAGGGTTTCTGATACAACAGAATGCAGTAAAGAAGAGAATTCAAAATGAGAAGAAGGATAAAATATTGGCGAAAATAAAGGAAAGCGAAAAAAGATTGAGAACAAATCCAAAATCTCAAGAGATTCTGAGAGAATTAAAGCTATATCAAGTACAATATATGAAAATGACGAATCAGGAAATAGAATGGAAAATTAAACAAATGAGACAAAAGACATTCGAGTCGGCTAACAAATGTGGGAAACTGTTGGCTTGGCAAATGAAAAAAAGACAAAAATTAAATACAGTTACGAATTTAGAAGTGGAAGGAAGGAATATACAGAACCCAGCTGAGATTAGAAATTGTTTCCAGAGGTACTTTAAACAACTATATACACAAGGGCCACTGAAAGAAACTGATTTAGATCAATTTTTGAAAACAAATGGATTACAAAAAATCTCTCAAGAAAATAAATTAATGTTGAACTATAAAATAACTGAACAGGAGATAGAAGGTGCCATTCAAAACATGCAATTGGGTAAGTCTCCAGGACTGGATGGATTGACTTCTAGATATTATAGATCTCTGAAAGAATGGCTAATACAACCCTTGAAAGAGGTCTGTAATGAAATAAGGGAGGGGAAAAGGGCACCAGAGTCGTGGAAAGAAGCTTATATTACACTTGTACCGAAAACAGAGGCTGAAAATACACAGCTTAAGAACTACCGCCCCATATCATTACTTAATGTGGATTACAAAATTTTTGCAGACATTTTGGCTAAGAGATTTTAAAAAGTGTTGATGGAAGAGATTCATAAATATCAAGTGGGCTTTCTCCCGGGAAGACACTTGTCTGACAATTTGAGGAATATAATTGATATTTTGGAAAAACTAGAAGTGAACATAAATACTAAAGCAGTTTTGATATTTGTGGACGCGGAGAAAGCTTTTGACAACATTTCTTGGAGTTTTATGAAGAAGAATCTACAGGGTATGGCGGTAGGTCAAGGCTTTGAAAACGGTATAAGTGCAATTTATTCAGAACAAAAGGCTAAATTAATTGTAAATAATGTGGTGACGGAAGAACTTAAGATAGAAAAAGGGACACGACAAGGATGCCCAATTTCCCCATTACTTTTTATCTCGGTCCTGGAGGTTTTGCTGAACATGATTAGAAGGGACCAGTTGGTTAAAGGTATACAGGTCGGAGCTAAACAGTACAAATTGAGAGCATTTGCAGATGATTTAGTTTTGACGTTACAGGAGCCAGAATCTAGTACCAAAAGGGTTTTAGAACTGATTCAAGAATTTGGTCAGGTTGCAGGATTTAAATTGAACAAGTTAAAAACTAAGGTTTTAGAGAAAAATCTAACACCAATGGAGAGAGAGAGGTTTCAGAATGTGACAGGTTTAACAGTGGTTAAGAAAGTTAAATATCTGGGCATTAACATGACAGCAAAAAATGGGAATTTATTTAAAGATAACTATGAAAAATGTTGGGCCGAAGTGAAAAAAGATTTAGAAATTTGGTCAAATTTGAAGCTTTCACTGCTGGGCCGTATTGCTGCGGTAAAAATGAATGTATTGCCTAGAATGTTGTCTTTGTTTCAAACACTGCAAATTTTGGACAAAATGGACTGTTTCAAGAGGTGGCAGAGAGATATTTCTAAATTTGTCTGGCAGGGCAAGAAGCCCAGAATAAAATTTAAAATACTAACAGATGCAAAGGAAAGAGGTGGATTTGCCCTGCCAGACCTCAAACTTTATTATGAATCAGCAGCTTTTTGCTGGTTGAAAGAATGGCTGCTTCTTGAAAACACTGACATTTTGGATTTAGAAGGTTTTAACAATGTATTTGGATGGCATGCATATTTGTGGTATGATAAGGTCAAAGCACATAAAGCATTTAAAAATCATATTGTCAGGAAAGCTTTGTTTAATGTTTGGATAAGATATAAGGACTTATTGGAAAATAAAACCCCAAGGTGGCTGTCACCGATGGAAGCGAAAGCCTTGAAAAAGCTCAATATGGAGGTCAAATGGCCGAAATATTGGGAAATTTTAGAACAAGATGGAGATAGATTGAAAC